AAAACATTTATTTAAATATACAGGATAATTCAAATAGAAGTGATAGGCTTCTAATAGAAGTGATAGGTTGTACAATTTATCAGAAGAGTGATTCAAGGCCCTTGGGTCTCTAGTTCACTTTTATGAAGGATGTCAAAAGTTTTCATCCAGTTCTAGAATATCTCCCTTTTTCTTGGTGGGGATGTCGACGAAATTTATCGTAACCATTGTTATCATAGAGATTTGTGCACCTGTCGTTGTCAAACATGTGCTTTAAATCTGTGTGAACATTGGTTTAAAAAAAGCGTTGGTATGCTCCCAGTTCAAATCATGCAATAACTAACAAGATTTTGTGACGAGTGGCTTCAAAAATGGCTACCCAAGTGAACCAAAAATGGATTTTCTAGAAAAACAGTAGATTTACAAATAAAAGCGGTAGGCGGGAGACGGAGTAAAAAGCGGTAGATTTCTGCATAAAGCGGTAGACTTCTGCATAAAGTGGTAGAGTTAACATGTATGGATACTAGATATATGTTTATATAAGTAAAAATAGATAAGTTTAACCACTTAAAATTATTTTTTTCAAGATTTCTCAGCAGTGTCCTAAAAAATTATCAATTTGCAAGGGAAATGGTTAAAATTGCAAATGCTGAACCATTTACTGTAGTAATGTAAGCTTAATCCTAGGAATCTGAAGTCCAATTAATTCACTTTATATTGATGTTGAACACTTTCTAGGTGTCATAACAGTATTTCAGTTGAGGTTCACGTCAAAACATGGTTGACGCAAAATAATTCCTGAATCTCCCCTCCCGATTTGGGCATTTTTGCCCGAGATTGGAGCTGAATTTTTTTATGAGATGAAAAAAAACTATATGACTTCCTGTGTTGACCAGATTCATTATAATTTAGGGCCTGCTGATTTTTCTATATACTGTATTTGAGTGGGGATGGATTAGGTCCTGAACTTGATTTTCAAGCACCTGCTCGACTTCGACCAAAACAAATTTGTGTGCCTTGCTGGTTGGCTATGTATATTTTGGTACTAAAATTTTTATAAAGAATTGTTTTACAAGATCTGAAAAGGAAACCTCTCAGAAGTTTGTTTTTAATCAATACCACCTACTCAAAGTTGTGCATTTTTGGTAAGAATATATAGCATAATTTAATACTGTTGTGCAACCTTCTAGAGTCTCCTTTCTTTTTTTAATTAAATTCTTTTGTTCCAAACCTTATATCAACCATTGTTTTCTTTAGCTTGGGGCCTTTTCTTTGTTGGTCTTGGGACCAACCTTTTCCCCTCTCCCATTTTGGTCATTAAACAGGTAATTTATTTCTAGATTACCCCTCTCCCATTTTGGTCATTTAACAGATACTTTATATCTAGATTTCCCCTCTCCCAGTTTGGTCATTAAACAGGTAATTTATTTCTAGATTTCTTTTTATTTTTCCCAGACTTGAGTAACACTTTTTTGTATTGTGCTCTATTCAGTAATAACAAATCCTCATCATCTTTCTTTTCATTTTGAAGTTTTTATTAATATTCTGAGACTGGATCGATCTGTTGATGAAGGATATTTCCTGATACTACGTTACAATTTCTTAATATTTTAGGAATTTGATATATGCTTTATTTATAACCAAAATATACCAATCCTACATCTAATTTTTGTAGCAAACTGTCCTAAATTGATTTCTTATGAAATCATTTAACTTCACACTATCACGATAATAACATGTTTTTCAATAACATGTAGGTAGTAGACATTGAAATCTGTCATTAAATTTCATGTGTAAATTAATTAAATGTGATTAGAATATCATCGTCATAGCTGACATTGACCATGGGTATTTGAAATGATTTGCAGGGGAAACATATTTAGTTTCCTTGTTTTGTGGGCAGATAACTAGGATTGTTAACTATAATACTTATTTATTTAATCAATTTCTTCACTGTTCTGCTATAGAATTTATTTCTTTTGTGGTTAATTGTTTAGAAATGCAGTCCTGTTAATTATTGTATGATGAATAAAGCTCTGATATTAAGCATGTAAAATATTATATCACTCAGAGTTATTGACAATATTAACTAGAATTACACTAGTACAATCAGGCCATCTTAGACGACAATTGTATTTCTTTGTGTCCGTCTTATGTTTCATTAGCAGCATATGTTCCTTGAAACACTCTTTGCATTCTTTGGACATTCAGTTTATATTTCTAACTCACCCGGACAAAAAGCTTAAGTGAGCTTTTCTGATTAAAATTTGTCTGTTGTCTGTCTTTTTTGTCATCATTGTTGTAAACTTTTGACATTTTTGACTTGAAATTGGTCCAAACTTGCACATTGAAGCTTCCTTGGGTGAAGGAGGTACAAATTTGTTCAAATAAAGGCTAACACTCTTGAAAGAGAAGGTAATCAAGAAAAGCAAAAGGGGGGGGGGGGTTCTCATGAAGCACTGGGTCAGAAAAGATGAAGCATGTGAAAGCTTCCTGATATAGTGAAAATTCATATTTTTCAAATCATGGACCCAGGGGATAGAGTGTGGCCACAATAGGGGATAACAGTTTTACATGGGAATATTTTGATTTTGGAAAAATGTTTTAAAATCTCCTCAAGAACAGCAGGGTCAAGATGATTGATATTAAAATGCAAGCATCCTCATGTAGTTCAATTTCATTTTTAGGTAATAATAACAATATTGCGGTATGTTGGCAAAAAATATGGTATTGCAATACGTTTTTGAAATACTGATATACCGGCAAAATGCTTGGAATCAGGAATTCTATCATAAAATATAAAGAAAAGTTGTCAGAAAGGTTTGCGATCATGCCAAACAGTAAGACAAAAGCTATTGTATGGGTGTATTTAGTTGTATAAGTATAATTCAATCAATAAGATATCTTTTATTGGTTATTTATCATAGTTCTGTACATTCTACATGTAAATGGAAGTTAAAATAATAAGAAAATTTCATTTAAATTTTTGTTGAAAATATTGAAATACATATCACAATACAGTTAAAAATATCGCAATACCAAATCTATAGCCAATTCCCAGCCCTATTTTTACGTCACCTGAGTTTACTCAGGTGACCTATTGCTATCTGTTTTTGTCCATCGTGCATTAACATTTAAACATTTCCAGCTTCTTGTCTTGAACCACTGAACCAATTTCAACCAATTTTAGCAAATACTGTATAATCACTATTAACTCCCCTGCCCCTATAAGCGCCCCCTAGGTCTTTTTCAATTGTCGGGAAATAAGGGTCCCCTGTACAGTGATTAAAATCATCTAGAATCGTATCGAAAGTCTGCCATAATTTGAAGAAAGTGAAAATGAAACTTGGTTATTGGGTCACTCGTACGTAAAGTATTCCTGAAATTGACAGATTTTTAGAACGACCTAATCATTGTATATTTCTGAAAGTGAAAGTTACTTACAAAATTTTTTCTCCTTGTATATTCTCTAATTTCTTGGTGGAAAAATGAATCATTTAGCATAATTTGGATGGATTTTCTTAACTTAAAGGAAAATAGACAATCTTTTAGTGTGGATCTCTGAATTTATTTTTTTTTTCAAAAGATTTCTTGAAGTTAAAATATGACATTAAATATCATATTGAGAACACCAAATTAACTGCCCCCTTTTCGCAATTTTCTAAGCTCCCGGGGCAGTTAATAGGGATTATACAGTAGCATCTATGGATGAAGGGGATTAAAAATTGTGAAATTCATGGCCCCATCCCCCTGGGGCCTGAGGGATGAGGCAAAAACCACCAAAATTAAAGCAATCTTTAAAAAATCTTCTTTACTCCTAGACATCAAGCAGTCAAACTGTTGGCATGACTGTAATAAGCATTGAGCCCTGTACCAAAATTGTGAAATTCATGGCCCAAGGGTCAGGCGTTCTGGTGCTAGGGCAGGGCTCTGTTGAATATAAAATGAAAATGCATTATTTCTTTAAAAATCTTTTCCTCTGCTCCTGGGTATTAACCAAACAAACTAAATGCATAGTTATGATGAGGAAGGGTGTCTCTTTCAAAATTATGAATTTCATGGCCCGTGTATAACCAAGTATTCTTTGTGTACTTAATTGTAGCACTAGGCAAGTTTCTATATATTGAATACCTTACACACTAGGCAAGTGCCCATTGTAATTGTATATTTTGCATTCATTCATTATCAACCCTGTAAGATGGGAAAACCAAGTATGATCCCAAGGAGATCACTCGGGTCTCGCAAGTCACAAAAAGCAAGGTTATTTTTACCAGATTTTTGAAATTCTTGGGCAACATAGCTTCATCTATCAGTTATTTTGTTCTGTGGATCCTTTACAGTGTTGTATTATACTCAGGTGACCATTAAGGCCCTTGGGCCTCTTGTTGAAACCATGCACAGCCCCCCTCCCTCCCCCCCCCCCCCAAAAAAAAAGGGGGGATAGGATGAGGCCATAATAGAGGATCAAAGGTTTACATGCGAATATAAAGGATCTGTAGGTAGTGTAGATATAAGTTTGTTCAAATCATGACCCCCTGGGGTAGAATGGGGCCATAATATGTTACCAAAATTTTACTTAAAATTTTACATAAGATTATTTAGGAAAAAGATTCTGCTGATGAAAAACAGATCTAGAAGGACAGTGGTCACTCAGGTGTGTGTTGTGGCCCATTAGCCTCTTGTTTTTTCTTCAAATTATCAATCTTAGGGGATAAAATTGGGAATAAAATTTTACAGATGTTTTTATCAAAAAAAAATCTTTCTCCAGGACACTAAAGCAATTTTAGTCATGTTGGTATTAGAGCATTCCCATATTCTATGGCTTCAAGTTCATTAATCACAATCCCTAGGGGCCAAGGTGAGGCCACAGTATGGGGTCAAATATTTGTTCATGGAAATAAAAATTGAAATTTTTTAAAATGTTCTTCAGAACAGCAGGGCCAATGTGACTCAGGTGGGTATTGTAGCCTAAGGGTGTCTTGTTATACAATTGTATTATCAACTGATTTTGTATTTTGCAGATTGGTCTCTTGTTTACCTGCATACTTGATCTTTGTCAACTGTCCGTCCATGTCAGGAGTGCTGGATCTGCCGTGCCAAATCATTAACAAGTATTTTGTAAGTGTCATATAATTACACCCAATAAAGAAAATGAAAGTGGAGAGGAGCATATGAAATACTATGGTCATAGATCTTTAGGGTTTAAGTTTTTGAGACAGGATCATTTCTCGGTAAATATAAATCTTACCTGGACTAAATTTGCCTTGAGATGCTTCTAGGGATGCTTGCTACCGGTCATTTCTCAGATGCTGATTGTGACCTTTGTTTTCTGGATTAGTGTAAGCAGGTTAAAATTTGGAAAGATTTCTTTGTAACATTTACTGTAAGCCCTATCTGAAGAAAATTGTATCAATGATGCATCAAGGGGAGCATATTACCGGACTTGCTTGGGATTGAATAGAGTTTTAGATTGCCATCGGCCCTTTGCTGATAAAAATGGCAGGAGAAAATAAATTTAAACAGCTGAAATGGCCTGTAAGTTTAACACTGAGAGGATATAACATGTATAATGGCTGATTAAATTCTGTATTTAAAAGCCAGTCTTATCGTTGTTTTTCCGTTCTTACCCTATAAACTTATGTTTACTTCTTTCTTGGATCCAGGAGAGGCCCCCCCCCCCCAGAAATTCCTGTAATGTTATTACAAAATGTAGGTACATGCATTTAAGGCATATGTGGTATGCTTCTGCTAGGTATAAGGGAAACAGACCAACCTCATACATGTATGCTGTAGGTCTATCCACTTTAGTTACTTGTTATTATTTGATATTTTTGAAACCCCTTCAATTCATTGTCTTCCATTAGAAATACCCACTCTTGGGGCATTTGTACAGTATTTATCAAACATATCTTGTTTTTAATACAGAGACTTTGTTTTTTAGTCATGCTTGTGCAGACATGGTTATTTACCAGCAAGTATCACCTTACATATTCTACAGGTACATATATATTTCTAGATTCTGTATTTTTTACTGTTAAAAGTTACAATACTAATGAAAAAATAAAATATCCTACATAATATAGCTGAAAGAAATTGTTTATCTACATGCATAAACAAGAACCTAGAAGTTTGCAATCAATAGATATATTCCTATACCAAAATATGTAAATTTGTGTTAATTTGAATCATTTGATTTTAAAGAAGTTTAAGACATATGAAAACTTGAATTAGTTTTTTTATACGCACGTCTTAAGACGGGACATATTATGTTATAGCGTTCATGTCCGTCCGTCCGTCTGTTAGCTTTTCGTGTCCGGCTCATAACTTTAATACTATTAGGCCTAGAGTTATCAAACTTTGTCAGCTGATGCATCTTGGGTAGAAGGTGTGTCGCGCATTAAAAGTAGGTCGTTCTGACCTTTAATTAAGATGTTATGGCCAAATATGGAAAAATCCTGTCTGGCTCATAACTAGAAAACTATGAAACTTAGAATCATCAAACTTGGCCAATTTATGCATCTTAGGTAGAAGGTGTGTCGCGACCTATTTCAAGGTCACTGTGACCTTTAATTTAAGTGCAATTTAACAAAAAAAATGTCTTTGTACTATTAAATTACACAATCCCAAAAAATGTAAGAGTGTTGCAGTATACATTTTAAAAAAATGTTAAATCAAGAAAATACTTATTTTTAGCTCTACTGGTCAGAGACCAGAAGAGCTTATGCGATAGTAAGGTGTCCGTCGTCCGTCCGTCTGTCTGTCTGTCTGTCTGTCTGTCTGTCTGTCCGTCTGTCTGTAAACAATTTTTCAAAACGCTACTCCTCCTACAGTTTTGGTCCGATTTCAATATAACTTGGCACACAAGTAGACTACACTAAGATACATAATTTAGTGCATCGGTTTTTGATTTCGATGGACGGTGTTGCCATGGTTACTAAAAATAGAAATTTCTGTGAAATTCCTTTAAAACACTACTCCTCCTACAGTTTTGGTCCGATTTCAATATAACTTGGCACACAAGTAGACTACACTAAGATACATAATTTAGTGCATCGGTTTTTGATTTCGATGGACGGTGTTGTCATGGTTACTAAAAATAGAAATTTCTGTGAAATTCCTTTAAAACGCTACTCCTCCTACAGTTTTGGTCCGATTTCAGTATAACTTGGCACACAAGTAGACTACACTAAGATACATAATTTAGTGCATCGGTTTTTGATTTCGATGGACGGTGTTGCCATGGTTACTAAAAATAGAAATTTCTGTGAAATTCCTTTAAAACGCAACTCCTCCTACAGTTTTGGTCCGATTTCAATATAACTTGGCACACAAGTAGACTACACTAAGATACATAATTTAGTGCATCGGTTTTTGATTTCGATGGACGGTGTTGCCATGGTTACTAAAAATAGAAATTTCTGTGAAATTCCTTTAAAACGCTACTCCTCCTACAGTTTTGGTCCGATTTCAATATAACTTGGCACACAAGTAGACTACACTAAGATACATAATTTAGTGCATCGGTTTTTGATTTCGATGGACGGTGTTGTCATGGTTACTAAAAATAGAAATTTCTGTGAAATTCCTTTAAAACGCTACTCCTCCTACAGTTTTGGTCCGATTTCAGTATAACTTGGCACACAAGTAGACTACACTAAGATACATAATTTAGTGCATCGGTTTTTGATTTCGATGGACGGTGTTGCCATGGTTACTAAAAATAGAAATTTCTGTGAAATTCCTTTAAAACGCAACTCCTCCTACAGTTTTGGTCCGATTTCAATATAACTTGGCACACAAGTAGACTACACTAAGATACATAATTTAGTGCATCGGTTTTTGATTTCGATGGACGGTGTTGCCATGGTTACTAAAAATAGAAATTTCTGTGAAATTCCTTTAAAACGCTACTCCTCCTACAGTTTTGGTCCGATTTCAGTATAACTTGGCACACAAGTAGACTACACTAAGATACATAATTTAGTGCATCGGTTTTTGATTTCGATGGACGGTGTTGCCATGGTTACTAAAAATAGAAATTTCTGTGAAATTCCTTTAAAACACTACTCCTGCTACAGTTTTAGTCTGCTTCTAATATAATTAGGCATACAAGAAGACTATACTAAGATACATAATTATTGCATTGGTTTTTGAATTCGATGAACAGTGTTGCCATGGTTACTTAAAATAGAAATTTCTGTGAAATTCCTTTAAAACGTTACTCCTCCTACAATTTTGGTCTGATTTCAATCTAATTTGGCACACAGTAAGAATACACTACGATACATAATATGTATTTCTGTTTTTTTTTATTTGGGTGAGTGATGTTGTCATGGTTACTGGTACTAAAAATAGGAATTTCCGTGAAATACTTTCAAAACGCTACTAATCCTAGTTTTCATTTGATTTCAATATAACTTGTCACAAAAGTAGACTACATTAAGATACATAATTCTATTTATTGTTGCATGTTGCAATGTTTCAAATCCAAGTGCTACTTTTCTTTTGTTATACAAACAGACCAGTAGAGCTACAGTCTCATCAGAGACTTCTGGTTTCCATTATATACTTTACAGCAATCTATAACAAATGTAATGTTATAAGAGAAATTCCACCTCTCCCATGGGTTTAATTATCAAGCACTGGTCAAGTAGAATTTTGATAACAGAAAATTGCATTTCAAATTAGAGAGAAATTAATGAGTTTAGTGTGAGGAGCTAACTGGTAGAGCATCTCTGATCAAGCAGGTGTTATCTATATCTCTTGGGAACTGTGCAAATGTTGGATTAAATACATGTAGTTCTTGTTCACAGGCTAGCCTAACTTTTAAAATGAATTTGGTGAAAAGTAATTAAAACTAATTTGATACTGCATGATAATTAAATAAAATTTGTTGATATTTTATAATAAACTAATTATTTAAAACTAATTATACTGGGGGTGGGGGGGGGGGGGGGGGGTTAATGTTGAAATCAGCATGCCCATTGTCCATATGATTGCAGCTTAAAACCAGCTAGTGTGACGTTAAATCTAAAAAAAAATCAAGTATTTAAAAAAAATGTTTTAATTATGGAAGATAGCCACTACAAATCTAAGAGTCATGCAGGAACCTTATTAATAATGTTGCTTCAAGATGACAAAAGTTTTTTTTTTCTTTTTAGAAATCTTTGTAACAAATTTTTAAAAAAATCTTTGTTTTCAAATTTAACTTCAGGATGACATAAATATGCATTTTTATTGCACTACAAAGCAAAAAGTGCAGATCCATTCATCCCTTGGGAATAATGAGTGGACATGCATCCAGTTCAAGATTAATTAATGAGTTCAATGTAGAAAGGCTAGCTGTCTCAGTCATTTCTGTTAGAGCATCTCTGATCAAGCAGCTCTTATCTGTATCCTTTGGGAATTAGACAGAAGAACTGCTGGTCAGTTTATAGCATATGTCATTTGATGGCCAGCCTTTTTATTTTCAAAATTAATTTGGTATAGATTAAGTTGTTAAGACTATATTGATATTGCTTAATATGATATTTTTATATTTTTTGAAAATATCAACTAGAGCATCATGTCTCACAAATATGAAAGATGGGGGGGGGGGGGGGCATTTGTCATTTGTCAAGCTCTAACACAACCAGTTGAGGATCTATAATGTAATATTTGTTAAAATTAATGCCTACACCACAGGAGATGTATAAACAAATATTATAAGGAATGGAAAAGTCATGGAAATCCTCCTACCGGTATCAAGGTTGACATAATTTTCTTGCACTCTAAACTGTTTTTGATAATTGAACAATATTTGATGGGCGTATCATGCTGTGGCGGGGCACTTTATTTAAAATTCTGAGAGTATTGTTTAACCAGTACTTGTGCCTTAACGGCAAGTGTAATCTGGTTCCCCTTTAAAATTAAGAAGATGGTAATTCCTTCAAAAATCATCAAGGCAGAATGAAATTCGGACTTACTCTGTAGTTCATCAATTAAGGTACAATTGCATATCAAAAATTAGCTCAATATCTGCAAGCATTTAGGAAAAAAGTGTGAAAAACCAAGTAACACAGGCAGAAAAGGGGGAAACCTATAGTCCCCTCTGGTTTCACCATTATGGGACTAATAAGTGTTTAAATTCACATAAATGTAAGTGTCTTCAAGCAGTTCACAACAAAAAGCACAAATTGCACACCCTTATATTCATACAATTGATGGATATGAAATTATTGTAGGGTATGTGCCAGTTAGCGATCAGTGAAGATATTGAAATCATTCTAGAGAGATGTCATCTTCTGACCTTGTCTATTGTGGTAAGTAGAATAGCATTAACATTGTCTTCATCCTAATTGTAATAAATATCCACTTTCTTGTACAAACCAGGGTAAGATAAAGAATGATCCTTGTATTGTAATTGCTTTAGGAAGTCAAAACAGGGTCACAATCCTCCACTTAATATTTTTTGTCTAAACATGGATAAAAAACAAACCTTGCCCTAATTTTACTAAAGTAAGGTCAAGGATATTCCTTTTTATTCATGGGTAAAGGTCAGATCATAAATAAATCCTCTTCCTAATGGGATATATCAGAAGAAAAAAAGTAAAATCCATCTCAAGCCACGGGGCTCTTAAAGCTTATGCTTATACCTGGTTTCTGTGGTGTTGTTAAAGCAGATCTATGAGAGTTATTGACTGCCTCAGAAAGGGACACGTCACACCTTAACTTCCAGCTTAAGCTGACATCCATTTTCAGCTGGGTGTACTTAAAGATCCTCTTACTCAAAATTGAAAAGAAGTATGACTTATTCACTGGTATAGTGACATGCTCCATCCATCTGTTTGTTGGTTTGTCTGTAAACTCACCCACATTGATTTGGCTGATTTTGGTAAAACTTGATAAACTAAAAGACACCTAGGGTGGGGTTGCCCTATGGTAATTGCTTTGTCCTTCTGTTCCTCCATCAACACTTCTGTGATGGGATTACTTTTTACATTCCCAGAGGAAATAAGAGGAATACACCTAAATTTTTTGCTCACCTTAGCCAAAGGCTCAAGTGAGCTTTCCTGATCAAAATTTGTCCATTTTCTCTTGTTGTAGTTGTTGTAATTTTTTTCCCCCACATTTTCAACTTCTTTTCAAAAACCACATTTTTTTTCTAATGTATGTCTTAGATGCACTTAAAGAAACCTGTGACAAATATCTGCAGAAAACTTGTAACCGCATACATAGTGTAAATTAATTTCATGCTGTAAAAAGAACGTATAATGAAACTGTGTTTTCATTTAATATTTACATTCTTATTAAAAATGCAGGTACATGTATTTTGTTATAGGTCCATACTCAGCTCACAAAAAATCTGCTGCGAAGACTCAATAAACAGCATTCCTGTTCTGAACTAATCCAAATCGTCAAAATCACAGATTGGATAGAAAGGTGAGAAATTAAAGGAAGTAAAAATTGGAACTGGATTTTTTATTCTTGACCTTGCTTATGACCTTAACTTCACTTTTCAAGATATTTTAATCAAACTTTATCGATGTAATACCCTCGGTGTCAGCGTCCCAGGTTAAAGTTTTTGGAGCAGATTTCTTTTCAAGTACTTCTATGCCCTATATCAATCAGAGGTGCATGGAGGATGCTTCTAGTGTGTTTCATTGTACCAGCCAAGGTTTTAGATGCTGCAATTTCATCTAAAGAATGACCAGGTTAATGTTTTTGGAGCAGGTTAAAGTTTTTGGAGCAGGTTAATGTGTTTGGAGCAGATCTTGTTTCCAAGTAACTTTAAGTCCTATGTTGACCAAACTTGCATGGATGATACATCTAAGGATGCACACTACTGGACTTGCTTCAGATGCTGGATTTGACTTATATTTTTTGGATGAGTGACTAAAATTTTTAGATGAGTCCATTCCCAATTAACTGCAAGCCCTATCAGACCAAAATTGCATAAATGTTGCATCTAGGGATGCACACTACTAGGTTATTAGATTATCGTGGGATTTTGCCTTACTTAATGACAACATTCATTGAGGTGAGCTCTGTAATCTCTGATTACCTATGTTTTTATGTCCTCAAGATCTAGGGATGCATTGTAATTTTGTAAGTCTACAAATAAATTGCAAAATCTTAATCATTCCATAACTGGAGAAAATTTTGAGGCACATATTTGCCACACAGATAATGGAATTCTAAAAACAAGATGTGTTTGTGAAACACTGATGCCCCCGTATGGCAACTTATAGCAAAGATTAAACTTTCTCAAATGCAAATCAAATATGTTGGCACCCAAAGTAAAGTCTTGTCCCAAGAAATATACCTGTGAAATATGAAAGCCCTAGCAGCAACCATTGAAAAGATATGGAAAATGTTAAAGTTTTTCAAAAGTTAGTCAAACATCAAGGTCAAGGTCAAATGGTCAAAATTAATGGTGCCCGAAAGGCCTTCTCCCAAGAAATACACATGTGAAATATGAAAGCCCCAACTTCAACCGTTCAAAAGCAAGTCAAACTCTAAGATCAAGGTCAAAGGGTCAAAGTTGGTGGTATCCAAAGGAAGGCCTTGTCACAAGGATTACACATGTGAAGTATGAAAGCAAAGCACCAACTGTTCAAAAGTTATATCCAAGGTTAAAGTTTTTCAAAAACTCTAAGGTCAAGGACAAAGGGTCAAAGTTGTTGGTCTCCAGAGAAAGGTCTTGTCACAAGGATTACACATGTGAAGTATGAAAGCCCTAGCACCAACTGTGCAAAAGTTATGGCCAAGGTTAAAGTGCAATAAAACTTTACAAAACTGGGTCAAACTCCAAGGTCAAGGTCAAAAGGTCAAATATGATGGTACCCAAAGAAAGGTCTTGTCACAAGGAATACACATGTGAAATATGAAAGCCATAGCTCTAACCAATCAAAAGTTATGAGCAATGTTAACGTTTTTGCGGACAAACAGATAAACAGACAAACAGACAGATGGAAGGACAGGGCAAAAACTATATACCCCCGAATCTTCGATACGGGGGCATAAAAATGTGTTTGTGAAACACTGATGCCCCCGTATGGCAACTCATATCAAAGGTTTAACTTTCTCAAATGCAAATCAAATATGTTGGTACCCAAATTAGGGTTTTGTATCGAGGAATATACCTGTGAAATATGAAAGCCCTAGTAGCAACCATTGAATAGATATGGAAAAGGATAAAGTTTTTTCAAAAGTATGTCAAACATCAAGGTCAAGTTCAAATGGTCAAAATTAATGGTTCCCAAGGAAAGGCCTTCTCCCAAGAAATACACAAGTTAAATATAAAAGCAGAAACACCAATTGTTCAAAAGTTTTAACCAAGGTTAACGTTTTCCAAAAGTAGGTCAAACTCCAAGGTCAATGGCACAGGACAAAAGACCATCTTTAAGCAATTGCTTAATGGTGGCTTAATGGTAGCTTAATGGTGGCTTATAGAAGTTAATTCCTTTAAGCCACCATTAAGCCACCATTAAGCTGCAGCTTCTAGGTGCTTAATGTCCAAACTTCATTAAGCTACCATTAAGCCACCTTTAAGCTGCAGCTTAATGGTGACTTAATGTCCAAACTTAATTAAACCACCTTAACGCATCCAGTATCAAGTCTTGAAACTAACTTGTTAAGTTTGAAGTTGTTTCAGTATCATTTACGCAAATACTTATTCAATTCATAATTTTTTTCTCGCTATTTCTAACAACTTTGTCAATGCGTATAAACTTGGGAACTGAGAACAGCTTCACCAAATGCCTTAAAATTTTTGCTCCCTAAAATCAGTTTGTTTGAATACTTGTTTTAAAATTATTTTTATCCATAAATACATAATATATATTAATTTTTTAAAAAATCACGTATTTTTCTTTCGTGTTTGGAGCCACGTTCCACTGCCGAATTCATAGGAAATGTAATTAGAGTCATTTTCTTCTGGAATATCTCCAAGTCTCTTTAATTTTTCTTTGGGTAGAGAAGGTTTAAGATATAAAAAAAAATGTATAGGTGTAGATTATATTGCCAATCTTAGAGTTAATTCATGAATAATTTGAATTAATTCGTGGTTAAGTGCCATTATTTTTTCCTTTCTTTTAAGATACTGTAGAAGTAAGAATTTATTCAAAATAATGCAGAAGTAAGAATTTATTTAAAATAATGCAGAAGTAAGAATTGATCAAAATATAGTCGGTCTTCAATGATTGTTATTTCAAAATCAATTTTCATCAGAACAGCCGATTAGATTAAACAGGGTATCCGGCCAGATTTATACACATTGAGAAGCGGGGTAAAATAATCAGTGTACAGTATATCGACTAGTTAGACAATAGACCTTAATTAGGTGTCCCCACCAGTCCCCGGTCAATTAACAGGAAACTATACACGGGAACGTACAGTGACAGATTTTGATGATCTATTTTCTACAAAACTTAAAATTTACGCAAGCATATAACAAATTAGAAATTATGATTGTACACAAAAAGACAATTATTTTGATACCCATAATGATATAAAAAGAATTAAAACTGAAGATGATATGTTACAAAAATATTTTATAACTTAATTGTTACGCAAAGATTGTCAAAAATCGTAAATATCCGCAGTATATTTATAAGAACTATAATCTGTTTTTTCCCAATCGTTCTCTTTCGATGATATATTCCTTTTAAATAACAAAATTTTGTTATATGTGTTGAATTTCAATCTTTTCATGCTTATAAATCTGCGAATAACAGAGCAAGGAATTCAGTTACTTAAAATCAAAAAGTTGTTTCACACGATCACACCGAACTCCGGTCCACGGGTAAGAAATATGAACATAATAGAAAACTTTATCAAAATGCTTTTTTAAAATATATATATATATAAATATAATTTTTCGTATTATTGATTAATAAATATAAACATCAGAAAAAAAAATACATGTACAGGTACCTGTAACCATTCCAAACGAGTTTTATTAATAAGAAAGGTTTTATATTTCACTACATTTTTAACAGCATCGATAGCTCAGTGGTTAAAGCTTTCGCCCTTCAATCTAAAGGTCGTAGGATCGAATCCTGTTGGGGAATGCTTTTTTTTTCATTTATTTATTTTTTTTAAATGTTCTTTCTTTTACATCATTTTCACTGAATTAACAAATGTATAAACTCAACATTTATAATTTTTGTGAAGAAATCATTATAAAAATAATATTAAACACGAAAAAGCAGTTTTATCGACTGCGTAATGGTGACTTAATGGTGGCTTAAAGGTGGCTTAATGGAGTTTGGACATTAAGCACCTATAAGTCTGGCTTAATGGTGGCTTAATGGTGACTTAATGATTGTCTAGAAGCTACCATTAAGCACCTATAAGCCTCCATTAAGCTGCCATTAAGCTACCTTTAAGCATCCATTAAGGACTTTGAGATGGCTTAATGGTAACTTAATGGTGGTGTATTTATTATTTAAATGTAGCTTAAAGATGCTTAATGGTGACTTAAAGACAACCATTAAACCATCATTAAGGACCTATAAGCCACCATTAAGCCAAACTTAAAGGAAGTGTTTCATCTTGTGTGGGTTACAATTGTTGGTATCCAAAGGAAGGTCTTGTCACAAGGTTTACATATGTGAAGTATGAAAGCCCTACCACCCACCGTTCAAAAGTTATGGCCAAGGTTAAAGTGTTTGCAAAAGTAGGTCAAACTCCACAGTCAAGGTCAAAGGGTCAAAGTTATTGGTATTCAAAGAAAGGTCTTGTCACAAGGATTACAGTACAACTCACGAGTTTTTTACACCCCACCATGGAAAACACACGGTGGAAAATACCCCATGTTACACCGTGTACACGGAGTTCCACCGTGTGCGTATATTGCGATTACACCAAAGACGCACCGTGTCACACCGTGGACATTACCGTTTCATCGGGTGACCCTCCGTGTTCCACCGTGCAAGAAAATTACGGAAGAAAATGGTTTGTTTATAAAAAAAATTTTAGAATTGAAATCATAGGTATGTTGGTTTAATTGCTAGAAAGAAATAGTAAATGAAAAATTATTTAATTCCAACAGCTCACTATAATACATGTAAGGTCGTAACATAACAGCGGCGTTCAGTGTAGACTTTGGTTCACCGTTGACAGTATACATGTATATATCAATTGAATAAATTTATTTTGATTTCTGTTGAATTCATATTTCATATTCATCTGAAAACAAAAACAACTACATGTCGATTGTGCAAATTAATATATTTCTGACATATGCTGTAAGTGCGCAGGTACAAATCCAAGTACAAGTACATTGTCTTTGAACTTAATAATTATTCAAAGCCAAATATAGATACGGATCGATAATTTTAGTTGTTATTTTCTCTGTGAAATAATATGGTATTAAAGGTATTGACAGTAAAGGCATTTACAAATAATACCTATGATATTAGATAACTAATTTAGCATCATCTGATCACTACATCATAAATAATAATGGAGAAAAAAAAATGTCGAGTCGGTATATTATGACATTCATATGGTATAGGAATAAAGTTTTATTTTCCAGAAATAAAATAAAAAAGTGTAGACTACTTATCAATGAAGATACTAAGTTGCTACATATGAGGAAGAAAAAGTACATGTACATGCAAGGAAAAAAAACCCACGTAGCATTCACTTAAAAAATCTTATACGCAGTTTGGTAGTCGTACAATCGGCAAATTCACATGAAAATTAAGCAGTTGTATGCATTCATTGATTAAACCTGACATTAAGAGACATAAATGTAGAAAATTCAATGTTTGAACGTTTATTTCTGTCGAATATGTAAGTGTCAGTATTTCTATCTGGGTATTTTTTTTATTACTACTTAATCTTCTACGATCAGTACGAAAATAAAAAAAATCGCTTGAACTGCCAATGCAGCATTCTAAAAATTCTTTTACAAATTATACACTATTCACTTTTTTTGTAATAATTAAAAATTATTTTGAATTCCATATTTTATAATGTTAAGAGAGTTTGTTTATAATGTTACGAGAGAGAGAGAGAGAGAGAGAGAGATTTTACTTTCAGGTTCATCCTTCTGTTCTTTTTTTTTTCTCATATACATATAATGTATCTCTCTCTTTTTTTTTTTTAAGAAATCATAGTTCACCTCCAGTTTTTATTAATCGAAACGAAATAGAATCGGTGCAATTTAGATACAAGTTCAAGGCATCACACACGGAATCCACGTGCTCTACATGTACCTGTCAATCAAATACCGGATATCGATGAATTGCAGAAACTTCTCATGTATGTATGGAGTCGCTCCTTGGCTAATATATTTCACACCTGTTCAGAAGAAAAATATATTGGGACATTCAGTTGCTGTGGCCCTTGGGACATTATTCACATGTTGAATCTCTAGACGAGTGTATACTATACACCTCAACTGGCTTCGAAACTTACACGTGTCGGGAAGTTAATTGGAACTTGGAAAATAAACAACTATTTTTTTAATTGTTTATAGAATTTTTAGTACAGTAACATATTTTAAAAAAAGCAAGTTACAGTTACAAACGAATATTATTTGAATACCAGTATTATTCAACTGTATCTAGATTATATAAAGTCGTAATATACTGTAACATATAACTTACTGGTGAAATGAAGAAAAAGAAATCATAACTCTCCATGTAAAATTGTCTCTCTTTCGTTGATTTTATTTATCATTAAAATGCCATTTTTGGAAAGGATTAGAATAAATCCTTAAAAAGGACAGGTAATACAATAAAAAGCTAAGGCATATGTAAATATTGTTCTTTTTTTAAAATGTCCATGTAGAAATTATCCATAAAACTCATTATGGAAAAGGGGGGGGGGGGCTGTTATTACATGTAGGGAGAGCACATATACAGTATGCTTGCTTTTATTTAATGGTTTGAAAAATCTCCACTAGGTACTAGTAAAATATAAAATCTTCAATCTAGTTTTTCATATCCCCTATGCATATGCTTAGTTAGGCAGTGAACCTATTAACAATTATAGCAGACTTTTTTTTCATACACGTTACGGAAGAAAACTGTTTGGCTTTTTACATCATTGTTTAACATAGAACATATTGCAGAAATATCATTTTCATTGAAAAGTATCATTGGAAATTTTTTCCATTATCGACGTCATTGACAATTGTTGAGCATAATTATAATGTTTTACATCTTATCGTTTACATATTGTGATTATTCTTGGCGACAAGTTTTGTGAAATGTTGTGCCCATAATGCTTCGATCTGTACACAAAATGCAAGATAAATATTAAGGTTTATATTTTACAGATAATTCTGAACAATTACAAACAGACACAGATGAAAAAGTGGGGCATCTTCAACACCTGAATATCAGCATTTCATATTTTCTGATGGGCTAGGCAGAGATTTACTCATTACACAGAGACTACATCGGGTCTCACCTCAATATGGGTTCCATTACGGGACGGAAATTTAAGTCAATCTTTTCATAACAATTTTTTTCATCCGATTCAAATTAAATTAAACAATATATTTTCGGTGTCGTATTTTGATGTAGTAATTATTTACATATACACCAGTTTCTACAGTAATTTATAATAAATTATTTTAAAAAAAAGTACGTCGGATAAGATAATCAATTGACAATTCCACACGGATTTCCTGAGGATAGTACAGAATATTCCTTTCTTATTTTTTTTTAAAATTTAGATTTAGCTTTTGTTTTACAAACAAAATAATCTTTAAGAAGATATCTTCCAAATAACACAAGATTGCTGACTGCATGGTAAAATTCCGTCTTTGTTAAATTCATTGACACGTCAGTACAATATCGAAAGTAGGAAAATGCACACTGCTGATGATATGCATTTCAATGATTTTTATTCTAAAATCTTCAATGAGTTATTTTAAAGTCATTTCAAACCACTTAACGTTGATTAACCAGCACGGAGTTCCACGGAGCAAACGCACCGTGTCCCACCGTGTACACACCGTGTCGCACCGTGTGCCAGCTTAGCGCTGAAAACGAAACATTAAAGACACCGACATTTTTCAAAGTCCACGCAAAAGCGTGGACCAAGGGTCCACCGTGGCCGGTGTTTTCCAGAAGATACTCGTGAGCTGTACTGTACATATGTGAAGTATGAAAGTATTACCACCAACCGTTCAAAAGTTATGGCCAAGGTTAAAGTTTTCCAGAAGTAGGTCAAACTCCAAGGTCAAGGTCTTAGGGTCAAAGTTGTTTGTATCCAAAGGAAGCTCTTGTCACAAGGATTACACATATGAAGTATGAAAGCCCTAGCACTAACAGTTCAAAAGTTATGGCCAAGGTTAAAGTATTTCAAAAGTAGGTCAAACTCCTAGATCAAGGTCAAAAGGTCAAAGTTGTTGGCATCCAAAGGAAGGTCTTGTCACAAGGATTACACATGTGAAGTATGAAAGCCCTAGCACCAATTGTTCAAAAGTTATGGCCAAGGTTAATTAATGTTCAGATTTTGCAAAACTGGGTCAAACTCCAAGGTCAAAAGGACAAATATGGTGGTACCCAAAGAAAGGTCTTGCCACAAGGAGTAGACCTGAAATATGAAAGCCATAGCTCCAACCAATCAAAAGTTATGGGCAAGGTTAAAGTTTTTGCAGACAAACAGACAGAGAGACGGATTGACAGAGCAAAAACTATATATCCCCGAATCTTCGATACGGGGGCATAAAAATAGCTGTGCCATTTAAAGTATTTTCTTGCAAAAAAATTAGAAATTATGTGGTGAAAATTTAAATCACCCCACTCCTCTTCTGAGTCCATCATTTATCTGGATGCAATGGTCCACAATAGAGGTTGACCATTCTTAGTTTTTACACTAGTGCAGCATTAACAAAAATTCTGAAATACTAGCTAGTAGCTTCTAGAAATGAAAAGATAAAACAACTGCATAACTCTACAATAATAGTCAAATGACCATGTTTTGTATTACACATAAGCATCCTTTTGTAATGTAGTGTATCAGGGCTTCATACCCTTGCATGCAGGTCAAGTAAAAGGGCGCAGTATTAATTGAAATTGGCACTTTTTCTCCAAATATTAACTTAAACTGTAATGATAAGAAGATTGAACTTTTCAGTGTATTTAAAATACAAAGTCTTGTATTTTGAGAGAATAGTAGTTCATAAATATATGAATAGAGTGTGTGCCTTGAATCTTCAATCTAATTGTCTTAATTTTACAATACAGGGCTCTCACACCACTCTTTGGGAATTTTTGTTTTGCAATACAGAGGCATATGAATAGCAAGTTTAGTTATTACATATCCAACTATATTCTTATTAAATTTTGGGGAATTGACTATATTGGAGAAAATTAAACATTCAATTGGGAAAAAAGTTACCTTTTTAGAATTGGGAATGGGGCCCTTGAACAGCCCCAATTATAGACATTCAAGAGCCATGCAATAAAACATGTAATTTGTCATGAATATTTCCAAGTTTTGACAATTTTTCGTATTTAAATTCTCAATTGAAAGGGTAGAGGTACATGTACCAAAAAGGGTCAATTTAGCCTTGAGTATAAAATTAGCTCAAACCGTGCCATTTAGAAGTAAAACTGTACTGATTGTATGACACACATATTTGTAAGTAGCCCGATTATTCTAATTAACAGCTGCCGGATGAAGCCTGACAGACCTCCACTAGGTGTTAATATGAAGGATTCACTTAGGAGTGCTGCTCTACTCTCCCTTGTCCACGTGAGGTAGGAACTTAATTCGTATGACATGTTGAGGGTCACAAGCACATAAAAATTTTTGCCACACATCGTAAACCCTAATTTTGTTTCTGATTTTCCTAACCATCACATTAATTTAATTTTGAAATTTTATGCAATTACCATTCAGATGAGTTTTCTTACATCTTGCAGTGTATATTCAAGGTTGTTCAGTTCATGGCCCCATGGGTTAGAATGGGGCCACAATAGGGAATCAAAAGTTTTTCAAGAAATTTACACATCATTTCTCTGTGTACTACGTCGTCAGTTTCAGAGAGGGGTGATATGGATTCATAAAACCACAGTGTGGTGATCCGGAACTTCGGATCACACCGTCATGTGATTGCATAAATTCAACAGTAAAATTAAGTGACAAACAGTTGGGTATATAATAAACAGATTTAGCATAAAAATATCTAGGTCAAGTTCTGTTTTGGGTACGATCGAGCAATGTTTGACAGTTATGCCCCTTGGACTTAGAAAAATTCCAATTATTTGTGGGGAGGGGGGATATAAGTGTTTCACAGACATCTCTTGTTAAAAAGAAGTTTTCTTTTATTTTGTTTCAGTTATCTACACCCCAAAAAAGAAAAAAATGTGATTAGCAATTTTTTCTCCTTAATAATGTAGAGTATAAAATGGTCTTCTCCAAATCAGGTCTTTTACAAGTCCCTTTCATCCTAATGAAATCATTTTAGTTAATAGGGTCAATGTTCATATTGAACCTAAATTTCAGTGGTTCTTTGGGGACATAATTTTTTTGGGGGCTGGCTTGTACATTCAGAGGATTCAATGAACCAGTAAGTTGACAAAGTCATTGTTCAGGAAGATGTTAATTCAGGGTAAGAGTGACTTTGGAAATTCAAGATCATTGGTCTCCCCAATGGCTGTATTTTGCCCCCGAGAGAATGCTGCAGAAATTAATTAATTGAACAGTTCTATTTCTGAAGTTCCAAGTTTGAAGATATTAATAAACAAACTGTGGAATTAACAGCTCGCACAAAATAAGCCTTTGTGTTAATTATAATTAAAGCTCCAGGTAGCTATTTGTTCTCTTCATAAAAGTTATAAACTGGAAATAATTTAATTTTGTTTGTATTCTAGCCTCTGATTGGTTAATATCCAAAAAGGAACACAAATTATTTCTGTATAACCTGGTTTGGTATGGGGACACACCCCCCTGACAACCAGCTGAATCATCTGTATGCATACAAATCTCTCATTTCCAGTCCTCGGGATTCATGGAAAATTCCAGATTTAATAAATATACCTTCAACTTCAAACAATAATTTGATCTTACCACATGTAAACAAGCTGCTAGGCCTATGTATCAGTTTTTACCTCCCCTCGCTTCCCATCACTTCCGTTACTTCCGTTACTACGGTTGTATTATTGAGCGGCAAATTTGAACTAATAAAAAGCAACGAAATTTTACACCCATATTTATTTAATGATTTTAAAATTAAATTATAAGGAATGACTCTAATTCTTGGCCAAATTATTCGAGTATAACCTGGTTTGGGTCAGTTTATGCTGTTTTATAATCCGCTTCGCGGATTATAAAGCGTAAACTGACCCAAACCAGGTTATACTCAAATAATTTGGCCAAGAATTAGAGTCATTCCTAAAATAACAACACAAAGAACAATAAACTTGAAAAACATTTCTTGAAATCTACATGTATTTATCGTAATAAACATATTGTTAAAATTGCTGGAAGGACAGAAATAGTCTAAGTGGGTGGAAATGACCTAGTTAGAACATGCATTTGAAATGACCTATTACTCTATATATATATATATATATATATATATATATATATATATATATATATATATATATATATATATATATCACGTCACAGTGACTGACGTCAAAAATGTATTAATCCACTTGACGTTACATTTAAAATGAAGAATTTGAAGGCGTTTTTGAAGGGAAAAATTGTCTTATTTTTTACACTTAATGATAGAAAATTGAATTATTAGGAATAAATTTAATAGCTACCCAAGTTATGCTGGTATAACCTGGGCTGGAACAGTTTACACTTTTTTATAAACAGCTTCCTGGTTTATAAAGCATAAACTGTTCCAACCCAGGTTATACAGTATAACTTGGGTAGCTATTAAATTCATTCCTCAAATATATTGTTAAAGCAGAAATATTTGTTGGGGATTGAATTTTGTTTATTACGTTGTTAACAATTATCAACAAACTCAAATCCCACACAAAAACCTTTTTAGATGACAAATCAATAAAATTTTATTCCCATAAAAATTTTTGCTTCTACAATATACAGTTAAATACGCTTATAACGAAGTGCCAGGGAAAAATGATTTTGCTTCTCTCTAAATGTAATTCATTAGATCTGTTAAGTTCACATTTCTTAAAGCAACAAGGAATAAAAATCACTTTGCTGTAAACATCATCTCATTGTTAGTGTGTTCGCTATCAGCATGTCTTACTGTATATGTACATGAACAATTTTTTTAAATTTCCAGGTCATCATCTGTAACAGAGATTATTAAAGCAGAAAAAAACAGCAAGGTAAAACGTCTGCTCATTGACAGTAGACACTTTAATAGCTCATTGACAGTAGACACTCTAATAGCTCATTGAAAGTAGACACTCTTATAGCTCATTGACAGAAGACACTCTTATAGCTCAATGACAGTAGACACACTTCTAGCTCATTGACAGTAGACACTCTTATAGCTTATAGACAGTAGACACTCTTATAGCTCATTGACAGTAGACACTCTTATAGCTCATTGACAGTAGACACTCCTATAGCTCATGTAAGAGACTCTGGACAGCTTTTCTGAATAATAGTCATGATATTTATTAGCTTTGCATAAACTGGATATTAAGGACATATGCAGCGTACATTAAGGACATGTTCAGTGTAAATGTACTCTACTCAATTTAGTGCACCTTTCCCACTGATAATTTCCCAAGATATTCTTAATTTAAAATCATAACATCAGATGTTCATTGGCAAAAATTCAGCTTACATTACCAGGAGTTTTGAACAAATATAAGATGATGAAAATCCTTGTGTTTTTTAAGATTTCAAATGCTTTCAGATATTGAAGTTTTAAATACACACACACAAAAAATGTTCTTGAAATTGTTTAATTTTTGCTTTCAGGTAGTGGAGGGGTTTTCAGTTCTCCTTATAACTGAGCTTTCTGATTCCAAGGTTAATTTTTAAATGATACTGTAAATTAAAAAAAAAAACACATGAATTTTTTAATAAGTTTGAAATGCCTGAAGACAAATCTCTATATTCTTCTTTCTTTTGTACAGAATCAGTTTTACTGTAAAGCTGAGGCAGTCCTAAATGATCTGCTCTCCTCTGCTCCAGGTACACTTTCTTACCTGTCAGGTGACGGAAAAGAGGAATGGAGGACCTTATTACCAGAATCTGTCATTTTTCTTCTTCCCTACACATTACTAAGGTAAGATGGATATATTTCACAAAACTTAACTATACTGACACGTCAAAGAAATGCAACAAGTAGTTAACTATTAGTACCTGATTTTTAGCTCACCTCAACGAAGTCGCGGAAGCTTATGCTATTCCCTTGGTGTCAGCGTCCAAGGTTTTAAGTTTTTGTAGCAGTTTTCTTTCAAAGTACTTCTATCGCCTATTTTGATCAGAGTTGCATGAATGATGCATCTTGTATGTTTCATGGTACCAGTCAAGTTTCAGAAGCTGGGTTTTCAGCCAATATATTCATTAAGGATGACCAGGTTAAAGTTTTTATACCCCCCTCCCCCCTCCACAAACGAAGCTTGGGGGGGGGGGGGGGGGGTATATTGGAATCGGCATGATTCCTTATGTTTATTTATCAAATGATATTCTCAGTTTCAGATTTTAATAGTGAGGTAAAACTTGGATTTAAAAATAATGGAGATTTTAATAGAAAATTGTATGTTATCTTTAAATTTCAGAAAGTAAAAGTTAATGCTAAACAAGTTGTCTCTAAACAATTTTTCAAAATGCAACTCCTTCTTCAGTATTTATCTGATTTCAATGTAACTTGGTACTTAAATAGACTACACTAAGATACATATTTTTCTGTATCAGTTTTTTTTTTTTTTAATTCATAGATTTTATTTGTGCTTTCACATATACAGACAATACAATATATTAGTTAACATTCAATACATACTTTCATTTCTACTTCCTGATACTTCATATTAAATACATTTTCTTTGTAGTAAATATTTGTTGCATTTCAAAATCAAACTAAAAGTGTATATGACATATTGTACATTTATATGAATCTTCACTGTGAAGCTTTATATACAGAAATAAAATTAAAGAAAGGAAAAAGGGGGTGAAAGGGTGCAAAAAATTGAGGTGGGGGAACAGTATTAAGTATTTTAACATACCTGTACATTTGTATATAAACTTGAGAAAAATAAATACATTGTATCATATCACAAATAGTTTTCCAATATTTTTCATATTCTGAAAATTTACAGTTTCTTAAAAGTATAACTTTTTCAACTAATATTCTATCCACAATATTTTTTTCTAGCATTGAGATGCTTAGTTTAGGCACATTTTTAAACCTACTAGCAAAAATAAATTGCTTAACAGTAAGTATTAATATATTGTGTAGTCTAAACATGTTTTTGTTGTTGAATTTGCCAAAAAGTATATCCTTTCTATCAAAATTAATGGTAAAATGAAACTTATTTATAAACCATTCCTCAATGTGACACCATATTTTTTTAGCACAGAAACACTCGAAAAATAAATGTTCAATCATTTCGAAATCTTGTTTACAAAAGGAACATACAGGTGAATCAATTAGTTTGAGTTTATGAAGTTATTTATTTGTTGCGATAATCCAATGCAGAATTTGAAATTGCATCCACTGAAATTTTGCTTCTTTTGTTACTTTAAAAGGAAGTTCAAATATTTTGTTCCAGTCTATATCGCCAAAAATACTCTATTATTTTCCCATTTTTCTAGTGCCTTAATTGCTTCCTTTCTCTTCTTAATGAGTAAACTATACATGTCTTTACAGCCTTTTGTACTTTTATAAAAAATATGAAGTGAATTAGGGATAAAAGGTCCAGTTTCTCTTTTTTCAATATCAATAGTTTTCAATATTTTTAAAATAGCTACTTTTAAACCTGCATATTCTACAAAATTTGTTTTTACATTAAGATTTGTGAGGTACTCAAGGCTTACAAATTTTCCTTCAGAGTCAAACAGATCTCTTACAAAAACAAAGCCTGCATCGAAATAACTTTTCAAAAATATGGATGAGTTGTTCATTTTAATTCTTGGATTAAACCATATATGTTCATGAAGAATTTGCATTTTATTTTGACCAGAGTCAATGATCTTTACTCAATTAAGTAAAACCTCTTTCCAAAACATCAGTATAAGTTTGTATCTGTATCAGTATTTGATTTCAATGAAGGAATTTGCCATGGTTACTAAAAATAGAAATTTCTATGATTTTTTTTTTCAATATGCTACCTCTCCTATAGTTTTAATGAAATATATGGAGATAACGAACAGTATTCAAGCTCAAAAGTCCATTATACAATACAAAATAGGAGCAGAGCAAACATGGACCTCCAAACATCAGAGGTGGGATCAGGTGCCATGGAGGAGTGAGCATCCCCTGCCGACCGGTCACACCCGCCGTGTGCTCCTTGTCATGATCGGGAAATAACGGAAAAATCCGTCGACAATTCAGTGTGTAAATAATGGCCTAACAATTAGTATAAAAAACGTCAGTCAGCATTTGACTTAATGATAAATTGTATTTGCTGACAAGGTCATTGTATCGACCATAGAACTTACGAAATGATGACTTTAAACGAGACAGCTGATATTCTTGTTTCATCAACTTATTTGTCAATAATTTACCTCGTTTTAGAAATTGTACATACGTAGAGCATGCTCTTGCGTATCGAATCAGCTGAGAGATATATACCCTGTATGCAGGTGATGAAGGTATATTACTGCATATATAAATTGAAATCTGATTTCAGTTAAACTTGGCAAAAGAAAACTAAACCTAGGATCATTGTGCTATTATTGCTGTTGCCATCATTATTCTATTATTTCTGTTGCCATAGTTAAAAGTTCTGCTACGTTTCTCTTCCTTTGTTATACGGAAAAAACAGTTGAGCTACAGTCTTATCAGAAACTTCTGGTTTACTTTTGTTAGAAAAGAAAAGTTGTTTCAATTTTTTGCTAAAAGATTCTATAGTATTTAACAGTTGTGGAAAGTAAATGATCTGTTTTTATTATATATAATTTACATTTAAAAGAATGAAAAATATTACTACATTGTTTAAGGTTTCTTGAGAAAAGACAGAAGCCTCCCTGGCAAAGTAGTACGACCTTTGTATCATCAGTGTTACTGTTGTACAAGGAAGTCCTCAGAAGTATGGAATGTTTACCAGAAGACCGTGGTAACCAGCACCAGGTACATATCAGCATGTTACATTATTCTGTTGTAATCTGCTGTAAGGTCGTCATTGGTGGAGCATGATTTCATGCTAACAGAATGAAAGATAATTCAGTGGTTCCCTCAAACTGAAACCAAAGCCTTTCTTTTCATTTAGAGTTGATAAAAGAGACATGTTTGGCAAGATAGCCTACACAACCTAAGTATAAATATGATAAATATTTTCTATATCAGAATAATTGCATATACAGGTACTAGATTTGTAACATATTGGTCACTCAAGGGAATAGCATATTGGTGACCTATTGCTATCTGTTTTCGTCCGACGTCGTGCGTTAACTTTTGAATATTTTCAACTTCTTCTCCAAAACCACTAAACCAATTTCAACCAATTTTGGCATATAGCATCTGTGGGTGAATCTTCTTTCGTATATATCAAGCCTCTTTAGTTCAGATGACCTACTTATTTAATACACTGTTTGCAAGTTAAGGAACTGTTTGTTTTAGTGAACTACTTTCTTCCCCTATGAATTCTAAAAATAATTAGAGGAGTGTACCCAGATGGTTAAAAAATAGTAAAAATTAGGTTGGGTAATTTAAATATCTTGTTCTCAAGAACCACTGGGACAGAAAAGATGAAACTTGTGTTTAAGCTTCCTGACAAAATGTAGATTTGACTTTGTTCAAATCATGACCCCCGGGGGTAGGGTGTGGACACTATGAACGATCAAAGTTTAAAAGTTATAAATAGGAAAAATCTTTTTAACAATCTTCTCAAGAATATCAAACCCATGATCAGTCATATTTATATGGAAGCATGCACAGGTTAGTGTATATTCATTTTGTTCAAATCATGATCCCAGGGGGCAGGGTGGGTGATCAAAGTTTTACATAAGAATGCATAGGAACTATTTTTAAAAATCTTTTTCCCAAGAACATCAAAGTCATGATTAGTCATATTTGTTTGGAAGCACTTTGTGTTGTGTAGATTTAAGTTTGTTTAAATCATGGCCCCCAAGGGTAGGGTGGTGCCAGAATGGGCTGTCAGTGTTTTATTATATAGGAATACATAGGATAATTTTTTTAAAATCTTCTTATCAAGAAGAGCAAAGCCATGTTAAGTCACATTTATATTGAAGCAATCTCAGGTATTGTAGATTCAGGTTTGTTCAAATCATGACCCCTGGGGTAGGGTGGGGTTACAATGGGTGATCAAAGTTTTACATAGGAATATATAGGAAAAAGAATCTGCTGATGAAGAACAGCAGGGGGACATAGTTACTCAGATGAGTGTTGTTGCCTGTGGGCCTCTTCTTTTATAAATCAAATGGGCATCTAGCAGGCTAATCAAGTATGTAGTAGTAAGTAGCAAAGGTGTTTTACCAGATTTGTGAAATTCATGATGACCATTGGAAAAAAAAAAAGGGGGGGGGGGGGGGGGGGAGAGAGTCTGGTGTTAGCCAGGTAGAGCTCTTTTGAAAATGTACTGTAGGTAAGTATTTACTCTGAGAGAAGTTATTTCCCTTTGATTATTCACCTATGATACTTAAGAGGGTTTATTGTACTCAGGTGACCATTAATGCCTTTGAGTCTCTTAGTAATTTAATTTTTAATTTAATTTAGAATGAAATACTAATTCCTGATTGGACAGACATCTCAGACTTTGTGAAAGGATGTTTGATGTCTGCGACTAAAGATCAGCTGAGAAATGTATCAAAGGTAAAGTGGAAAAATTTAAGCAGAATCATCAACTCTCATTAAGGTAGTCCGAACCTCAGGTTCCGAAAACCAGCTTTTCAGTAATTGAAAATTCTCACAAAAATGTCTTGGATGTCACAGAATAACGTGTATTTACCCATGGTATTTCTTCAAAGTTCATCACTAAAGTTAGTCATATTATATAGGGAAAATTATCAGATCTCAAATATATTTTCAGTTAATGTAAATAAAAGCACCAGCTATGGATTTTCTACTTGAAAACTGATCAACAAATAAATTTTTGGATTCAAAATTATAGGTATCCAGGCATTCTGAGAAAATTGCATGTTTTGCACACTTACACAGTATTTTAATTCTTCTATTTACTTCAATTGTTATAAAATACATAGTGTGAAAAGTTTTTGTTAGCATTGCAAGACATCCCAGATCACTTCAAATTTCATATCATGTTAGTAAGCACCGGGATCTAATGCTACACTCAAGGAAATTTGATTTCTCTAAAAATGAATTTATTTTTTTTACTTTTGTGGGGTACAAATGTCAATTTTTTATAATATCATTTCTAAGACTTCAAAGAACCTTAAATCATATTGAGATGCATAAAATGAAAATTGTTGCTAGAAAATATTTCAATTTAAAGCTTCATTTTGAGATCATTTTTAATTATATAATAGATTTAAGAGCTATCATTCCTAGCTGAGGATCGGATATCCTTAAATATATTTGAATAGTATGGGCGGAAAGGGCAATGCATACAATTATTATAACTTCAATGACCTTAAAAACTTAATAAATGACCTTTGTAAATACATGATTGACAGACCTTTTTTCAGAACAAATATAAATGTAAGCAAAATTAACAAGCTGGAATGTTACAAACATACGGTAAGTAAATACAAAACAAACAGTTGTCTTTGCAGAATAAACACAGAGCTGCCATCCCTTTGGCTTATGGTTTGAGAATCTAAAATACGCCTTAAGATTTATCTATTTATGTTTACTATTTCCATTTCTCTTCATCAAAAGTTTGAAATACCGGTGTTTTCAATGTCTGCCTTTAGTTTCACAATTCAAGTAAAAAAGTCTTATTACTTACAGAACTTGCTTTATTGTCATTTATGATATCAAACGCATGTAACTCAATTTGTTTGCACACATTGTTGCAGTTATGAGACTACATCTTTAAAAAAATTATGAATCAATGCTAAATATCAATGCAATCAAGTAAAACATGACCAAATTGGGAAAATACCAAGCGGCTGGGAGTCTAAATGACTCTCGGACCTATTCTTAATATTTTTCAGTTTATGATGTTGGCATCTCTGTAAACAGACATGAAAATAAGACGAACCATATAATAATTTTATGTGTGTTTATTCTGCAAAGTCATATTTATTTGTTTTGTGAAAAGCCTTGGGTCTGGTGATTACCCATTTAAGGTCATTTATTAAGTTTTTATGATCATTGAAGTTATAATAATCATTTGCTTTCTTTTATATGGTATTGTTTGCCCTTTCTGCCACCCATAGGAAAGTCAAAGTGTTTGAAGCAGTATTTATAAACCATTTATGTGTATGATGTGCTCTCCCATGCCTGAAGTTGACATTTTCTCTTTTCAATAGGAGTCATTAAATGGATGTGGAGCAGATATTGTGTTAGTGTACAGACAAGTTGTTTCTAGGTTACAATAAAATCCTTTCTATCTTAATTTTTCTTCATTTGTTATATTTGAGAGATGTGAAGTGGTCAAACTTCGCCTACAGAGTGCCAGTGGGTACAGGGTTTGAAGTGACCTTGAAATTTTTACTAGGTCAAGGTTGAAACTCCTGCCTGTGCAAAATCCTCATCTAAAGAATATTTTCTCTCCCTTTGGCTCAATTGGGATACTACTTCACTTGTAGAATGTTCATGGGCAGAGGGTGTGCAGTGACCTTGAAGTAATTTTTATAAATGAAAGGTCAAGTTCAGAAAGTCACTCTGTGTAAAATCCTTGTCTAAGGCATATTTTCTCTCACCTTGGCCCTACCTGACTCAATCTTCAAATTTCTGGGTTGATGGTCTAGTTCATAGCAAATTCACCCAAGGTGTGTCCTTGGATAAAGGGTGTTTCATCCTAATGTCCTTTGCTTAAAGAGGGGCCCTTTGAGATGATCACCATGTCAATCATGTCTAGTAAAGAGACTTGCAGGGAATGAAATTTTGTATTTTAATAACTTGATATTTGAATTGCAAAGGTGATGCATTGTAAAACTTTTCTTCACACATTCAAAATTATTATGAAGTTAGATACATGTATTTAATTTTGAACACCCAGAACTGCCTGTTAAATTTTTAAATCCAATTCAGTTGATTAAGTCTTGGCTTTAAAAATTATTCCTCTAAAAAAATGCAAAGAGTTATTCTGAAATCAGGAATACTACAACAAAATTTTATTTAATGAATCTTTTAAGAAATATGGTTTCAGCATGGAAAGATTGATACTAGCCCTTAATTATTCTGTATGAATTGTTTTGTATTCTTTCAAGAAAATGTGAAAATAGTTTTATTTGTATTTTTAATTTTTATTTGCAAATAATATGCTTTAGAGTTTAAAATTGTCTGTTAATAAATTTATAATTTAGATATTTAATAAAACATGTTAATAAGACGGCAGATAGAGTTGAAATTATTTTCAAATAAAAGAATAATTTATAAAAATCAAAAATATGATTTGTTAATATTTTGTAAACCTATGGATAAAATCTCCAGGAAAACAAGTTACCTATAGATAAGAAATATCAGGCTATTGTAATTTATTTAAAAAAGAAATGAAATCGCAAAATAAGAAAAAATCCTAATTTTCAAATTTTGACCAATTCCAATCAAAAATTGATCTCAACAACCAGAATTACATGTATATTTTAAAAAATGGAAATATATTGCATTTAACAAAAATACTGGTTTCTTCGGGTAATATGATCTACAAAATAATTTAACTTTCCAATCGTATGGATTTCTCGGTAGAAATTGTGCATGAGCTAGGCAGTAATTTAGTACATGTACATTGTAATTATTAATTATGTGTTGATTTTGATCGGGATTGGTTAAAATTTGCAAATTAGCAATTTTTCTGAAGTTTTACAATTTCATTTCAATTTCTTTTTAAAATACGAGTAACCATTTTCAAAAGAGATGTCTTAAGATCCATTAAATAAAACTTGTGTGTAGTCATTCCTCAAGAATTCTGTACGCTTATTGTTTAATGAAAGAGCGACAACTCCCATAATTTATATGGAGTTAAAAACAAGTATTTCATTATTGTCAACCACTTCACCAAGCGTATAACAAAATATTGTAACACAACAATCTTTTATTGACAGTATAAATATACAATTTTTTTTTCAATCTTGAACCATATTACAGGAAACCTTGAATCAATTTACTCTGTTTCTAAACCTTTCTGGACTTATTCCTTCCCGAGGAAAAAATAGGCTCTTATGCAAAAAAAGAATTTTTTGAAGTTTTGTAGTTGCATGTATGTATTGTGATTAATTAAAAACATGGGAGGAAGAAAAATATTTTCTTTAGTTAAAAGAATGGATGATGTATTTTATCCACTTTAATTAATGAAAATTCACATAATAGGTAGTTAATAGCTCTTATTAAGGGATTATTGAGCACCAACTGCAAATGCTTGGAATTGCTTCTTTGCAAGAATGAATATAAGTTGACAAATTGTTTAATTAAGTAAAATGATCAGCTACTTCTCACAGTCCGTATCGTCACTACTGTCACTGTTCTTAGGATTAATTTGGTCCTTGCTTGAGTCTACGGTAGGCTTTACACTCTTGGTGGGAATAATCATTTCTTGCTTTTGTAATTTATATTCTAATAGCATGTGATTGATAGGAGCTAGTCCAATACAGGCTCTCAAAATATTCTCAATGCAGCACCGCTGTCGGAATAAAGCGTTTATGACGGGTGTTCTCCTGGGAACCAAAGGGGCTTTACATAGGTAACTCAGGATGGACAACACGGAATTGAATTTTTGAAAATGCGTCTCGTTTTCGACTTTGTATTGGATTCTCTCGCAGAGTTCTGCCAGAACTATGAGATCAATGATAAGTGGACTGGCTAGTAGAGAGTCCTCGCATGTGTTGTGGATGACGATCGTGTTGGTTCCTCCCATCATGATTTCTGAGGTGTACTCGTCCATGGCCCGCTTACTGTCCCCCACGTGGGGCACGTACTTGATGACGACACAGTGGTCCGGAGTCTCTCCTTTGTCATATAATGTACTGTTGGATTCAACCATGTCGTCCACTACATTACTTTTGGAAATCTAAAAAAAAAAATGAACATTGTTTATTAAGTCTATTAGTGAGGACAAGAAAAAACAATTTTTAAAAGATAAATGAACGAATTCATAATTCCGAGTTTGGCAACATGAGGAAAGAAGGGATAGAAAGAAAGTTAAAACAAGAATGCGTAATTGTTCACAGATTAAACGACGCCTATACACGTGATAAGAAATCATATTGTTTTTGTTTGAAAAGTTCTACCTCTTTCGAGCGGAAGGTTTGAGGAGCAGACAAGTTTTTCCCATCATTGTTTCCGAGATGGTTGTAACTAACGATAGACCTTGGTTTGATTCCCGCACTAACAAGAAAGTCCACCAATACAGACTTTAATTTTGTTTGTCCCGATTTGAAATCATCGCCTCCAACGAAGACCCCTTTCCTCTCTGCCAATTCTAAACAACCTGGTACAAACGTATTCTGGGGAGATCCGTTAATGAAGGTTACCTGTCAAAAAAAATCAAAATTCTGTAAAAATCCTTAACCTATTCCGTTGTACCAGTGTTTGCAATACAATGCCTGCATTTTTTCATTTTGCTCACCTTGATAAAATAAAATGTCATCAACAATTTTTGTTTATGTTTTTGCAAGTATGTAAAAGAAGAATTTTATTATAATGTTAATGCATTCTAATGATATACATACACCTTCCAGAATGGATGCGACTGCAAACAAGGTCGAAGGCGAAACCTCGCTCTCATTTTCCCGAATGCTTTTAATCAAGGATTCTGCCGTGTCATTGACACCTGGTATTACATCGGAGAATCTTTCCGTGTTTGCGGTCCATAACACGATGATTTTGTCAACAGAACTCGTTTTCTTGAATTCTCTGATGTCCTCGCGGATTTTTGTCATCAATTCTTGCTTAGTACCAGTTAACACATTATCGGCCCGCTCTGCCTGATTGGCAGCTATGAATTCTGGGATATAAATTGATGGACGGGGCTTGAAATCCTCCATGTATGGTTTCAGTTGAGTTTGTAGATTGTAATCCAGAACTTTTGCTCTCTCCATTGCATCTGCCAAATTCTTTGATGAAATATCCCATCCTAAAATTACAATAAAGATTAAACAAGTTATAGAGTGATATATGTCATGTATTTTTACAAAGAATTGTGTTTTTGAGGTTTGTTGTATTCCATTTCTTTCTATTGTCTTTTTTTTTCCTGTATAACGTACCATCTAAAACAATATCGTTTGGGTCAACCATGGGTAACAGAGACTTCATAGGTACGTGAACTTCTCCCTGCGGACCTGTTCCCAGTAACACCGTACTAGCCTGAGTGATAGAACCAAAGTAATTTGCTCTGTTTAGACCTTCCTTTGTTGGCCACTCCATCCTGTGCTTATTGGCCAAGATGGCTGCCGTCACTGTAGTTCCGTTGTTTCCACCCCATCCAACCAACATGACACCGAGTTTTGGAACCCTTCGGTGTGTTCGAAACAAATACTGCGTAGTGACCGGCGTGGCGGTGATCTTTCCTGTTGAGTCCGTGTCCACTTTAGTGTTCTGGTACTCATACTTGGATTGAATGAAGTCGGTTGTGTAGGAAACATCTGGGCTTCTCACTTCAACACTTTCCATTTTGATCTGCTAAGTAGATAGTTGTATGTTTTTTGGGGTTTTTTTAAGTTCTTATGTTGGATAAAACTGTTGAAAAAAGGGTTCATGTAAAATTCCTAAGCTTTGATTGTTACAGTTAGTGATGTTTATTATAGATGTGTAGATATGTATGGTGTCGTTTCATGTCCTTAAAAGCCTTTGAGTTTCCAGAGTAAGCAACAAACCAGTTAGTAAATATTTTATTTATATTTAATAGATATTTTATTTATACCATAATGCATTGATACACAGTCAGTGCATATGAAAACTGCACTTCAACTCAACCTACTTTTAAATTAATATTAAACCTATAATGACAGATCTTGATTTCATTACCAAAATTATCTCCAAACGTATTCGCATTTTAAACCTGCAACTACTCTGAAACCATCAGAGTAATTTTTTAAATCTGGAAATCCTGGATCTGCCCCAGTATAAGGCCAAATTACAACATGATTGATTATTTAGGGCTTTTTCGCCAGTACTTCAGTCATTTTTGGGCACTAATTCGCGCCTGCTGTGACTGGTTTTGAAGGTTTTTAGCCTAATGAGCCAATTTTTTAAAATCTTAATTGAAAACCAGAGAAATGATCTAGTAAATATGCATAAAAAGCTTAATATATTTCCAGCTTGATAAATTGTGTACAAAGGAATAATGAAATAATAAGCAAAGAATAAAAAATGAAAGAAAGGACAGTAACTGCAACATGATCATAGAAGAACAAGCTTAAGCAAAACCCACAACCTACCTCAGTTGATTAAAATTTTATTTAGGGTCCAGAAAATAGACAAAGTCCTGAAAGAATACTCAAACAAGAATATATCTGGTCTTGTCCAACGGTCTTGGAGGAACTTTATATATTATAGTTTTAGTCTCTAGAAATTACCCGAAAAGTTTAGGCTACAAGGAAGGTACTAGCCTTTACCGAGTTTTCCAGATCGATTAGGGATACAATATGCTACTTTTTTACAGCACAAAATGATCATTTCTTTGGAGAAATACGCAATACCATCGAACGGATGTATTGTTTCGACTTCTAGAAATTACTAGAAATTTTATATCTCGTACATGGCAACCAGATCACAAAAAAAAATCTATAGACAGAGTTATTGTTCCTGGTACGTTCAGTGCATCGCCGCTGAATATTTTAGAAGTTGGAAAAAAGCATGATCATGAATTCTGTGCTAGTAATGTAAAAGGGATTTACATTAGCCATTCATTATAATTCGAGTTACTGCAATACAGTGCAAACTAGGACAGTTTACGATACAATACTGGTTTATTGTGTACTTTGATCAAATGATGAAGTGTTTGATTAAATTATCATCTTGTATTGACAAGTATTTTTAAAAAATCGGGGTTTTTTTTTTTTTACTGAAACTTTGAAAATGTAGATGATTTCTTCTCTACAATCGTAGATTGGGTATCTCATGATGCAATCAAAATTATATTTGCAAATATTAAAACAAAAACGAGAAGACAATGCCTTTTTGGGCATCTGTCTATCTGCACGCATAATTTTTTGACAGGTCGGTGCTCCAAGACGTTCCATTGCCATTTTTTGACTGTTTTTTATGCATTGATCACCTATAATGTTAGTGTAGCGACAGGTGAAATATCGTTAATCTTCTTGCTTTAATAGTTCAATTTAAATTATTACAAAACTGTTTATATATTGAAAAAGTACAAACAAATAACATGCTCTGTGAAGCATATTTTAGTTTGTTGATTTCATCAGGCAGTTGTTTCTCATACAGAGCACCCCACCTTAAATTCTCTTACCACAAAGTACGTATCTCAATTTCAGGCACCACTACTTAAGCTTGTATTAATTAATCAATCATTAAACTGCTTAAACTTGACATAGTTTGCTTCTAAAGACTTTTTTTCTTTTTAAAAATAAATCGTTCCGAACTTCCTTAATTGTCCAGCCTCTTATTGTAAACCACTCATTTATTCCTCGAAAATTACCTCCAGACATTTTAAGACTTAAAATAGAGGACACTTGAACTTCCTGTTAAGATTAAAGTGTACGATAAAACAAAAGATCTTCTAACTTTTCATTTTGGAGCCTCCAGTTTTATTTCGGGATAACGAATTGTCGAATCTGTGATAACGAATTTAATTCGTCATACGCACATATGAAAAGCGCGCACACAATAGATTTTGTCTGCGATTTTTTTTCAGCCCTTGAACGTGATTATAAACAGGAAGACGTGAAGGAACAGTGTGAAAAAGATCATTCAAAGAATCCTTTAGATACAAAAAGCGATGAAAGTGGAAGGAAGTCGGCTTTAAATTGCAAAATAAAATCACTTAGATTCATAATTCCATGTATCGGATTTTGACAGTGTTGTCTTGGTTATGAAAACAGAATTTTTTTTTTCAAAACATGCACTACTATTTCCCATGTTTTGATCTGAATTAGAAGAAAATTGTTACACAAGTAGTTCTACTCTAAGTTACAGTTACAATTTTTAATTCCAATGAACGGCCGTGTCGCAATGGTAACGAAACCCAAAAAATGAAATTATTTTAAAACGCCACTTCTCCCGCATTTTTCTCTGGAAAATGAAAAAGGTGAAGATTATATTAACAGTGATCGATCTTTAAAAAAAAAATACAAATCAGAGAACGGTATAAAAGGTGGACTCTCGGAAATTCCAGAGGTGGGGTCAGGTGGCTAGGAGGAGTAAGCATCCCCTGTCTATCGCTCACACCTGCCATGAGCCCAATGTATTGATCAGGTAGACAGAGGTTGTAGAAATCCCTGTATCATCAACTTTTCTCTCAGTAGACTGCTTCTATATAAAAACTGATCGTACTCAGAGCATGTTCTTGAGTATCGAATAAGTTTGAAGACATAAACAATTAAACACCATAATGATGCAGCTGATAGCGGAATATTATTATATAAATAAGAAAAGTTGACAATGGAAATCTCGTTTGTCATACAATTTAGTTGTTAGTTAGCCCTTATCTTTTATAGTCAGTAAAACATTCAAATATGAAACAGATATGGCAGACCCTGTGGTGTCCCTCACCCTGCGAATTAGTGCCCATCGAAAATCCAACACTTCATCGGAAGATCTCCAAAGGCTACATAAATGTTGCCTACAAGGAACTCCAGCATCCTTCAAACATCAACCTCAAAGTACCTTTGTATAGAAATAGAGTGACCTCCAAGAATTTAAATTGAAATTTATATTTAAAAACATAGGGGTTGAATTTTTGTAAGAATTTCACATGTAACATTGAAGGACAACACTGTTCATCGAAATCAAAAACTGATAAACAAATTGTGTTCTGTCAATCTCTCTAGTAGGAGTAGTGTTTTTTTTTTTATTAAGAATTTGCAAAATTTATGTTTTTTGTAACTTTGGCAAAAATGTCATGTGGAATCAAAAATTGATACCCAGCTGAAATATTTTGTAGTCTACAGGTTTTATTGGAATTGGACCTAATTTCTGTGAATTTGATGTAATAATCATGGCAGATCAAGTAATTTCGTGTAGTCAACTTGCACCAGGGGCACCGCGTTGGTTTTTTTTTTTTTTTTTGGTTTTTTTTTGGAAAGAATTTCACAGAAAATTTCGTTTTCAGTAACCATAGTGATACTTTTAATCAAAAGCAAAACTGATATCCGGTATAATATATTCTGGTGAAGTTTAAGACTTTTACCAATGAAGTTTTATTTCAATCGAACCAAAACTGTAGGAGTGGAGGTTTGGAAAGAATTTCATAGAAACACTTTATTTAGTAACTATTACAATACCGTTCATTTAAATAAAAAAAGCCTAAACATAGGCGTCGGAACCGGGGGGGGGTGTCCTTAGCCCCCCCCCCTCCCCACTTTTTTTTTGCAAAGATAGACATATAGGCATTGAAAATTGGGGTTTACCTTTTTTTGTTGGTTTAGCCCCCCCCCCCCCACTTCCAATTAGCCACCCCACTTTCAATTTGCTTCCGACGCCTATGCCACATTTTATATATTTTATCATAGTATCCTTGTATCTAAGCTTTATTGAAATGGGACAAACTATAACAGGAATTTAGAAAAAAAAATGTTTTTTAACAAAAAGACAAACAAACAGACGACAGACACTTTACATTTTATCTTCTCAAGCTCTTCTTGGTAGTCAAAAATTCCTTGAAATTCACCATCATCGTTTAAGGTTGAACATAACACTGCTTTACACGAATTTTTTCGAACAGTACAGAAAGACCCGAATGTCAATGGAGCGGTAAATTCAAAGAAACAAATTATTGATTCCAAAACTTTGCTAATTTCGATCGTTCTAATTACGTACAGTGTACGTAAGCCTTCATTCAAAGTGAGAGAAAAAAAAAATTAAGTGAATTCGGAAGAGCAAGTTTTAACATGGTTAAAATCGATACTAACAGCGATTTTATATTCTTATTTACATAGTATAATATTTTTTCTGACAAGGAAATAACCATAAAAAAATATCTACTTGTTATAAAAGTGATAGCATTGAAAAATACAAAAAGTTGACAAAGTTAATAGAGAGCATGCTTACGTGTAAGAGGTTGGTCTTGTTGTGTGTGTAGATTCGGTTACTACTTTACACGTGCAGGATCAGGCCATATTCTTTTTATAGAATTGATCGCATATGGCGTGACGGTAAATATGCTTGTTACTTCACGACCTTTGTTCGGCTTAAGTGAACTAGTAAATCAAATTCTACAGACTTTGTATTTGAACTTTAAATTATGTATAGTTTCTATAAAAATTATATCATAGTATAGGTCTAAACTAAGGTCTAACAGTATAACCTTTAACAAGTATTTACAATATATTAATCTGTCAACAGGGTGCATTACCTACTGTTTTGCACAAAACAAAATTACATCTACGAGACGATACAATGCAATTTCAAAATCTTAAATTACTGATAATGTGCTAAATATAGTTTTAGTGCATCTTTCCAAATTTTAAAATCTTTGAAGAATCAAATCAATTCCTTTTTTCATGTTAAACACTGCCTCAT